AAGTAAATAAATACTATTTCATCTGTCTATTCTAACAGAACTCCCAGCTGATGGACACAATGTGTATTTGCATCTGACCCTTACAAAGAAATTCCCACCTCATCAATCTCCCTGTTGCCTAGGCATCCATCCCACCAAATCCTCCAGGAGGCTGAAGATGTTCTGGGCTCAAACCAGATTTCTCTCCCCAGAACTGGAATGTAAGCTCTGTGGGGACAAGGATCTCTGCTGATTTTATAAACCACTGCATTCCTTGCACCTGGAACAGTAGCTAGCACTCAGTAGGTACTTGGTAAGTATTAGCTGAATAGAAGAAAGAATGATGTGGCAACCCTGGGATTTAAAGTCTGGCTTTCAGAGCTCTGTTGTCTGCTATTCTTTCCTGCTACCAAACTTCAAAAGAGAACATCCTTTCTGGCTAACTAATTTAAAAGCAACTTTCATGCCAAAAAATGAACAAAGAGAAGAAAAATAGCATTCAATACAGCAGTCACACAGTCTTGGAACTACCTACAGCTAGGCACAGAGTAACCAATGTAAACAATTAAGAGCAGGGATTTTAAAAAAAAAAAAAGGTGGCATTGCATGAAAACTAATTGCAAGGTGAATAGTTAACTATAAGTATTTGTCAAAAGAGAAGTAACAGTTTTCATGGTAAGGTAAAACGTTTCAAGATCCCTTAAAAGTGGAAAAGATCTTGATTCTTCACTGATTACCTATAAATTTATTATAAATTTATATTCTACATATAAACTCCATTTAATCACATTAGGAAAAGAGTTTTGGTTAAAAAAGATCTTTTTATCCAACACATATATGTTTTCAAATCTGTCCTTTCTCTTCTCCTACTGTAAGGAAAAAACCAGGATGGGAGAAGTCTAAAGATTACTGCCACCGAAGCCAGTACTTCTAGACCCAGAGGTTGATAGGTATTACCTCTGGTTTTGATATTCTGTCCTCTTTCTCTATCCCACACAGATAATATTAATCACAACTGGATTCAGAGGGCATTAAGACATGACATTATAAAGCGCAGGCGTCAAATCACCAATTACTATGTGCCCCCACCACACTGCCATCTCTGATTATGGAAACAAATTAAATGCCCCATTTTTTTTTGCAATTAAAAATAAATGTTTTATTTATTTATTTTTTTTATTGTAATGGTTTTTGCCATACATTGACATGAATCAGCCATGGATTTACATGTGTTCCCCATCCCGATCCCTCCTCCTGCCTCCCTCTCCATCCCATTCCTCTGGGTCTTCCCAGTGCACCAGCCCTGAGCACTTGTCTCATGCATCCAACCTGGGCTGGTGATCTGTTTCACCCTTGATAGTATACTTGTTTCAATGCTATTCTCTCTGAACATCCCACCCTCGTCCTCTCCCACAGAGTCCAAACGTCTGTTCTCTACATCTGTGTCTCTTTTTCTATTTTGCATATAGGGTTATCATTACCATCTTTTAAAATTCCATATATATGCGCTAGTATACTGTATTGGTCCTTATCTTTCTGGCTTACTTCACTCTGTATAATGGGCTCCAGTTTCATCTATCTCATTAGGACTAATTCAAATGAATTCTTTTTAATGGTTGAGTAATATTCCATTGTGTACATGTACCATAGCTTCCTTATCCATTCGTCTGCTGATGTCAATGTCCCATTTCTAAAGGCTGATATGGGTGGAAATTAGCATGTCCCAACGGTAACAAACATCATTCTTCCTTAGTAAACATCCTCTTAAATGCTTACTCCAGGAGCACTTGCAAACATGGGACAGAATGTCTTTTTAACCCCGGGGTGGTCATAAGTACCTTGCTCACGATCTAAAGCTTTTTTATTTCAATCACTTGGTCAACAGTGCAGACCACCCTCCCTGGATTGTGGAGCAAAAAGACAAATCTTAGCAGGAGGTGGAAGCACAGGACATAGTTACAGCTGGTCTTCCTTCCATCTCTATTAATGCCTCCATCATAGAAACACTGGGAGGGAAATACTGAGAAGGAATAACAGTTTTCACACAGTCTGTAAATCAACTGTTTAATACAATTCTAAATATCCTCCTAAAAATAGTTTCCCAAATCACTGAATTTAAACATCTTCATATTGTTTTACACTTCAGAATTGGTAAACCAATATAATTTGTTTCTTTACTTGACTATAACTCACTATATTTCAGAGGGTTTTTTATTTTGTAGCAGTTCAACAATTCAATTCAGAAACTACTGTTTCTGTTTTATTCAACAACTACTGTTGTTGGTTTTTAGTCGCTAAGTTGCATCTGACTCTTTGCAACCCCATGGACTGTAGCCTGCCAGGCTCCTCTGTCCATGGGATTTTCCAGGCAAGAATATGGAGTAGGTTGCTATCTCCTTCTCCAGGAATCTTCCTCACCCAGGGATCAAACCAGCATCTCCTGCTTGGTAGGTAGATTTTTTACCACTGAGCCATCACGGAAGCCCTATTCAGAAACGGATTTCTCCAAATGCCAATTATAAATGATACTGGTTTCCTTCTCCAGTTTTGTTTTTTTTTTTAAGATTTCCATTCTCCTGGACACGGTTTTTATACATAGTCAGTTATGACAGATGTCATATAGCTGCCACATATACAAATGCTGTGTAAAAGGATGTTGACAGAGAACAATCTTATACTTTAGTAGTTATTACTGAAGATATAATTATATTACAACTCTGAAATGTTGTTATTGATAGAGCAATTCTACTTTTGGGAACTTTTCACAATATGCTGATCTTAAGATAGAAAGCCCTTGATGAGCACTATTGTATTATGTATATTTCCTAAAAATTAGAGAACTACTTATATCCAACAATTAAGAACAGTTAAGTAACTTGTGGTATATCCTTCAGTAGAATACGAACACAGGACTTCAAATGGTTAAAGAGTTCACGGGATAAAATCTCATAGAAAAACAGGGACACAAAATAGTTCTGACACTGCAATTAAGTAAACTATGCAGAGGTTAAAAAAAAGTCTGAAGAGGATGAAAGTAAAAGTGTTAGTCGCTCAGTCATGTCTGACTCTATGCAACCCCATGGACTGTAACCCACCAGGTTCCTCTATCCATGGAATTCTCCAGGCAAGAATACTAGAGTGAGTAGTCATCCCTTCTCCAGGGGATCTTCCCGACCCAGAGACTGAACCCAGGTCTCCCGCACTGCAGGCAGGTTCTTTACCGTCTGAGCCTCCAGGGAAGCCCCTGAAGAGAATAAGCAAAGTTATACGTATTATGTTAGGGTGAGAGGATCATGAGTTTTCCTTCTACTCACTTTTTTCAAACGTATTATTTCTCTAATTATGAAGAAACTAAGTAAATCTAAAGAATTTTAAAGGTAATAAAATTAGACAAGGAGACAGAACACAAAGCATGCTAGGTTAAATGGGGAAAAATTTTTACTGCCACATCCGTGAGTCACATCATCTCTGAAAATTGTCTCCCGTATCCCCAGCACTGGCATCCTCTCTTACAACATCTCGAGAATCTCTCCAAGATCCTCACATACACTGAACGCTTCACAGCACATAGCAGAGTTCCGGGGAGTGTTCCTATAATGCAAACAGGGAGGAGGCTTCTGCCATACTGCAGAAATTCTACTATTCTGGGAAGTTAATTCCCTGAGACAAACTCAAAAATGAATTCCCAGCTTTTGCCACACTTTGTCTCTAAAACAGCATTCTGACTAGTTTTCTATTTCCCTAACACAGCAGGATCATGTTTATGGAGAAAGCTAGTTTGACATGAAAAGATAACTCAGGAGTCCATATTCAGTTCATTCCTTAAACCAAGAGAAATCAAAATGTAAACAGACAAGTGGTAAAAACAAACTAGAGTTCCCAAACATTCAGGTTCTGTTTGTTTAACAGGAGAATGTTTGTTCAAAGATTATTAAATTTGCCAGTGGGGCAAGAACTTCACAGTAGAAAACAAGTTCATTACACTGAGAATACAGTATAAGAACCTATCAACAGTACATCAAAGAAATAAAAAATCCAATGAGTCTCAATCCAGAGGGCGATTTTATACATAGTCTTTTCTATCAGCATGTAATATTTTTATATATTTTTTAAACTATGAAACCTCTTTAAAAGAAGATCATCACTGAGCACAGTGAGTACAGCTGAAGTAGAATGGTGGAAAGGATGAAGCACCAACATGTGGTCACAAATACCATCCGAATGCTAACTACCTCTAGGCATGTGTGAACAGTGATGGCCACAAAGATAGTAGGTCATCGTCTTCCGACTTCAGAGAGCTTACTGCCCAACAGGGAAAGGAGCACACCAACCATCAAAGTACTACGGGAAAACTTCTTCCACTCAGGCACCAAATACTGACTGAGAGACTGTCTACTGTATCTCTGGCACCATGGGAAAGGCTGGAGAAACACGGTCAGAGTTTTTAAAAAAAAAGATAGAAAAGCTGCTGGCATGGAGCTAATAATTCAAAGAGAGGTGGGCTGTATTCAAAACATCATACAAGTTAACTCCAAACTTACGACTCTGTGAAATGCTGAGAGAGTAAATGAAAGGTAACTGCATAATAAGTAAGGGAAACCAGGAGACAGGATTGTCGAGGCTGGTACAGAGCGCTCAGCACAGACTGAGACAGCGTAATGGTGAAGCCAAGATTCAGGGCACAACTATGACACAAGTGGGACATTCCAAATGAAACAGCAAGAGATAGTGCAAGACAGGCAGACATAGACCAGGTTATAATTAACAAATTTAAATTCCATACCATGGCTTTTTATTGTGTTGGGTGTTTTTTTTTTTTTCAAATGAGAAAACCTAGAACCTGTTTCCATGTTAGGTTCAAATGTTACAAAGACATAACAAAATTTTCACAACAATAGGGAAAGTGTGTGAAGGACAGCCAGGAGTGTAACCAAACTTGTAAATAACCTGGAAACAGAAAATAAGGGGCCATGACAAGTTTTAACAGTGTGGGACTATATTCCCCTCAGGCGCGAGCTTACCCCGATGATGCTCAGCCCTTTGAGGTAATCCTGACGAGGCTGAGCTTGAGGAACACAACCAGCAAGCACTATTTTCTTGTTCTCCTCTTGAGCTTTTCTGAAAGATAGAAGAGAAAACGGTGTTAATTCTTTTCCTCACAAGTGTACCCTGGGACACCGATGTTAGCGCACACACGTTCCCTAGAACTCAACAAGCCCATCTAGCACAAAACAGGGTTTTCTTACAGCTGCTTCAAGAAAGTACAGTTTACAATATGACTTCGGAACTAGGCGCCTATTTATCACACCGTAAAGGACACCATGGCAGTTCAATCTGGTAAGGTCATTCATTACCGCCTCATTCAAAAACAAAAAAATTTTACTTATGTGGAATTCTCAAGGATATAAATCATTCTTGAAAGCCACATTTTCCAGACAGACATTAGCCATTCAAATAAGTTATATTTATTTTAAATATTAATGAAAATGTTCCTAAAACATACTATATGATTTCCTAGTCTTTTTGTCTAGTATAAAAGTAAAATATACATTTAAAAAGTTGAACAGAAAAGAAACAAAAGGTATAATATCCCCCTCTCTTTGGAGAATTCACACAGCTTCTCACTTCTGTTTCTCAGAGATGTCTACAAGTTACAGATTATTTATGCTTATGTCTAGACAATCCCTCTCAATGCAGGTATGTTGTGTAAATACACCTGTGTTCACTATAAATACACAAAGATGAAACAATATTTCAATACTTTATTTTACAACTTCCATTCAATACACCTTGTTTATCATTTGAGTCTTTACCTAAAGATTAGCCTCATCTCTTTTTTTGTATTCTACTTTTTTTAACAGAAGTACATTCGATAATACAGTTAATAGTACAGTACAATATTATATGTTACAGGTGCACAACATAGTGATTCAGTTTTTAAAGGTTATACTCAACTTACAGTTATTATAACATATTGGCTATATTCCCCATGTTGTATAATATGTCTTCATAACTCACTTTATACCTAAGTTTGTATCTCTTGATCCCTTACCCTGACCTTCCTTCTTCCCACTGGTAACCACTAGTTTGTTTTCACTGTGAGTCTATTATTTTTTGTTAAATTCACTAGCTGTTTTATATTTTAGATTCCCCATACAAGTTGGTATCATAAAGTACTTGCCTTCCTCTGTCTTACTTCATCAAGCACAACGCCCTCCAAATCCACTCCTGTTGTTGCAAATGGCACAATTCTGTTCTTTCTTATGGCTGAATAATATTCCATTGTGTATATAGTGAATATATACCACATCTCCTCTATCCATTTATCTGTTGATGGACACTTAGGCTGCTTCCTAATCTTCACAATTGTAAATAATGCTGCTAAGAACATTGGGGATGCATGTATTTTTTTTTAATTAGTATTTACATATCCTGGATATACACCCAGGAGTGGAATCGCATCCTTTTTAAACATAACAATGTAGGTATACTATAGCTTAACTAACCTTGTTCTGATAGGCATTTAGGGCATTTCCAATTTTTCACTATTACAAATTATCTTACAATAAACATGCATATAGATATGTGCACACATATACATGCACAAACACATGTGGATGGATAGATAAGATAATCTTTGAATATTTGAGAAAGTATTCCTGGATTATAAAAACCTAGGTGCGAAAGCTATGCCAAGTTGTCTACTTCCCTAACATAAATTCTAAGTGGAAATGCTGGTTCAAAGGTATATATGTCTGGTTATTGTATTAGGCATTTCTTTACTTAGGAGGAAGCTGGTACATATTTGATGTGGGTGAGAGTTAGGGTGTCAGTCATTCGTTTAGGTACATGTGCATTCAGCAAACACTGGTGCTTTGCTAGAAGACAGTGGTAAACCAAGCAGAGCTAACAACTCTTCCTGGAAATTATCCATATTCTTTGCTTATTTTACATTAAAATTTTAAATCTTCAATTCTTTATCAAGTATGTGGGTTTTGGTCCTGTGATACTCTGTATATTTTTTTCACAGGTTGCTCGGGTACGGTGATTTAAACACCCAAATGTGCTTCTGACTGCCCGCTCCAGGCAATGCGTAGTGTTCTGAAACCAACCAAGAAAGCTAAGGGAATCAGCAGCCCCATTTCCAGAAGTGGAAACTTTAGGCTACGCACTGTGAAGTGAAAAGTCTGTATACCTGGCTCACCTTGTTTCTGTCAACTTTCTCAAGTATACAGATTCAGAACTGAAAGCCTAAAAAAGGCGGGGGGGGGGGGGGACAAGGAGTGGACTAACAGAGCCAGCTATGTGTGACCAACAGCCAACACCAAAACCTGCTGGGAAGTATGCAGAGAATGATAAATGAATGAACAGGCAGAGGACAAAATACTAGTTTATCAGCACCTATAAGCATTTCACTTCCATAACTTCTTAGAATATTCTGGTATAACTTATCCACTTGGAATCATGAAAAAACTTGTTAACAGAATCAGGGAAATGTGACTGTGGTAAATTGCTTAACATAACCAAGAGAATTACTGCCTGGGTCTGCCACTTAGTTTTACTTTAAAAAAAAAAAAATCAGTACCAAGCACATCATTGCACACAAATAGCTTCCTCATAGTAAATGCGAAATACCTTATCAAACAAACAAACAAAAAAAATCAATCCATTGTAACAAAATTCTTTACATTAATAACACATACAATGGAATAATATCTGGTTTCTTCAAAAATTTCAGCTATGCACCTAGATTCACTGCCAAATGTGTAAGGGTCTGACTGGTCACCAAAAAGTAAACCCTCCCCCCAAAAAAGCTGGCTTCCAATAATGTGATTCAATTACTTAATTATTAAGTACATCTATGACATGATGGAGAAGAAAATGGCAACCTACTCCAGTATTCTTGCTTAAAGAATTCCATGAACAGAAGAGCCCGGCAGACTACAATCCATAGGGTTGCAAAAAGTCAGACACGACTGAGGAGTATCCACACAAGTCACGACAGAGAGTGTTTAAGGGGCCACAGTAAGAGGAAGACACGCACTTTGTACTTGACATGGTTCTGGTTTATAACAGATAAGAAGTAAAAGAACAACATCACAGCATTAAGCAACAGAAAGATATACAAGCAACATATGATGGAGGGAAAAAGAATATGCACACAGGAAAAGACAGTAAAAAACTTTATGAAAAAATCTGAGAGGATTTTAAAGCAAGAAAACAGTGGAGAGGGCTTGCCAGGTGGCACAGTGGTAACGAATCTGCCTGCCGATGTAGGAGATGCAAGAGAAGCGGGTTCAATCCCTGGGTCAGGAAGATCCCCTAGAGAAGGAAATGGCAACCCACTGCAGTCTTGCTGCCTGGAGAATCCCAGGGACAGAGGAGCCGGGTGGGCTACAGTCCACAGGGTCGCCAAGAGTCAGACACAACTGAGCATGCACTCACAGGAGTGGAGAGGGTGAAATGGAGGCAAAAAAAGCTTCAGGCAGTTGTTACAGCATGGACAAAGGCAAGAAGAGAGAAAGCTGGGGGAAAGCATTTCATTACAGAGAAAATTTCTGTGTAAAGGACATGAATAGGGTTTATACTGTGGAAGAAGCCTCACAAAAAAAGGCTGGGCAGGCTCCAATTTAGTGGGCAGTGGGGAAAGTTTTTAAGTTTCGGTGGCAGAGTGGACACCAAGTGGAGCCAAACTGAGTAAAGGACCCTGGTGGCAAGGTGCAAAATGAACTGCGTGGGGAAAAGAAGCCAAGGGGTGGTGAAATTCATTGAGTACCCCAGGCAAAAGGACATGAGGACCTGAACACACAGGGAGGATCCAAAAAAAAAAGAAAAGAAAAGAAGTTAAAAGGAGATGCGTTCTCTTGGGAAAGCTTAACGATGAATCAAAGGTGGTGCCAAGGTTTTGAGACTAAGGCAAGGATTAACATTTTCTAAAAACAGCCAGACAGTGAATTAATTTAGGCTTTGGTGACCACAGGTTTCCGATGCAACTGCTTAGCTCTGTCACCTTAGAGTAAAAGTAGATAGACGCGGTACTTAAATGGGTGTGTTTCAATAAAACTTTATTAGCAACAAGCAGCAGGTGAGATTTAGCCCAAAGGCCAGAGACTGCAAATCCCTCCTCTAAGAAAATACAAAAGAAGGTGGTGCCACCAGTTCTCAGCGGGAGCTGAGAATAAGGATAGAAAGTGAAAGTGTTAGTCGCTCAGCCCAGTCGGACTCTCTGACTGTAGCCCGCCAGGCTCCTCTGTCGGTGGGATGCTCCTGGCAAGAATACTGCAGTAGGTTGCCATTCCCTTCTCCTGGGGATCTTCCTGATCTAGGGATCAAACCTGGGTCTCCTGCACTGCAGGCAGACTCTTTACCATCTGAGCCAACCGGGAAGCCCCAGTAAGGACAGAAGGAAATTCAAATAGGACAAATCAGATCTGAGGTGACACTAATGCCCAGCAAGTCTCTGGAAATGCAACTCGGCTGGCTGGCTGGGAATAAAGTTGGGGGTAGGTTTTAGAAATGCATTCCAAAGTGATGGTTGATGATAATGGATGCGACAGTCTCTAAAGATGTGGAGGACAAAACTGTAAGGTTCTTTAGCAATGTATAAAACTCCCATAGGCTAAAAAATATTAGTGTGAAAAACAAAAAAGATAAAATCACTACCAACAATTCTATAACAGCAGTAATAATCATGGTTAGCATTTATATGCACTTCCTCAAGGTCTTCATTATGTACTTTTGAAAACAGTACAGCCAACATACAACAGCCCAGGGAAAGTGTTCTGCTGACATTATCAACACTAGACCAGGTCAAGAAACAACAGTCCAAGGCTGATTTTAGGGCGTAAGCAGAACATCAGAAAATTAGGAGGAGAAGTTCAAAATAGAGATGCTTAAATAATTTATTTAAAATATTATTTCATGCTTTTTGTTGAATTTGGCTTTAAAATGCTAGGGCAGACCAGAACTATAAGCCAAAAATCATACCCCAGCTATGGAATATTGATGCTATACTCTGTGACCAAAAGTTTTAATACAGTTTCTCAAAGAGTGTTCTTGTTCTAAATATTCCTTTCTTACATCCTGTTCTTTTTGCTTACTGAACTTTGTTTAGGTTA